AAAAAAGGTACCAAAAAAACATCGTCGTGAGTAGTGAACCGTAAGCTTCGGACTTGTATGAACTTAAAAATGCACTAGAAAACACAAAAACCGATAAAACTCGGAAATGAACTTGAAATCTAAAAATCGGCCTCGATAAAACAAAAGATCTTTTAATGAGGATTCTTAAAAGGTATGAATCATACCGTATGATAGTACTAGGCTAGTACCTATAGTTTTCCCGCAAAACGAAAAGCAAATCTGGCACATTAAATTGAAACCGGACCTAGGGCCTTCCTTACTAAGGCCTTATTAACCTTAGTAAGGATCCGATTAAGTGCGATTCGAAAAAATGTTCTTATTGATAAAAATAGCAATAATTTAAGTTTAATTGGTATTTTTGCTGTCAGTAAGTTGGCAAGAGACATTTTTATCGAATTCCTTCACAACTCGTCCTTAATTCCCTTCCTTACTACGGCTTTTGTAAAGGTTTTTTTTTGATAAAAGCGTTCTCAAAATGCGTAGGCCGTCGAAAAAATCCTTTTTAAAATCCTTAGTAAGGAAAGGAATTAAGGAAAAATCGCTAAGGATTGAAGATCCTTACTAAGGATCTCTGAAAACTAAGAAAGGAACTATGGTAAGGATTATTTTCCGCCGAAATCTGAAAAAGAGTAAGGAAAAAATCCTTACCTTACTAAGGAAAGGACCCTTAGTAAGCAAAAAAATAAGGAAGGAAGTCCGACCCTAGCTACGGCTCGTTTGAAGCGAGAAAGGATTGGTAGAGCGAGAGGCAGAAAGAAAGGAATGTAAATGGCGAATTTTTGATCTTCGGGGAAATAAAGAAGTTCGAGAAGGGAAGGGTCGAAAAACGCGCCTTCAGACATTCGAAAGGACTTTCGGGCAAGTGAAAGACGTTCATCGAGTTCTCTTTCTGATTCGAGCGCTTGAAGCCCACAAGTGGCGGCTTCTTCGATGTTTTCTGACACTCTCGTGTTGATCACCATGTTCTGGATTGGAGATTAAATATGCAAAGTCAAGAAAACAAATAAAAAACATACCTTCACCTGCGAGACGAGTTTTGAAAGACTGTTCAGTGCCTTTCCAGACGACTTGATAAACTTTTCGATCATCAAGCCTTTTGATTCTTCCGTCACATCGCCGAAAATGATCTCTAGTTCTGAAACGACGTTTTCTAGCATTTGCTCGGTGTCCAGGACTTTTCCTTCAATATTCTGTTCATCGAGCGAGAGAAACTGGAAAATACCCCAGTCGGGTAAAATCGCGGAATTCTTCTTATCCTTTTGAATTATTTAAAATTGGTCTGAAGTGATGAGATTAAATACCTCTAAAACAATCCTCCGGTTTGTCACAAACACAACCGCCTGGACAAGTTTAGAATTTGGATTCTGGTTGCTCTGAAGTCGACCTTCTAAGTTGTTGATAACTGTCGACAGAACAGCCTTGGACCAAACAGTTCTCTGGTAAAAATACTTGGTCGGATGCAGCTTTCCAGGATGGTAAATGACCTGCGTCGTCACAGAGAAATTTGCGAATGGCTTCATTTTGGCGCACCAGTCCTCGAGGATGTTTATGTGAGTCTCGATATTCCAATCGGCGTTAACGTCGGGCAGAACAAGAGATAAGAGGATATCGTAGTTGTCCGATAGCGTCATCAGGCTATTTCAACCCGTTATAAAGAATAGACTCGTCGATAAGATACCTTTCCCGCTCTGGAATTCCAGAAGTTTGGTCATATAGCTGGTTAATTTTATCATAAGAAATTGGCTTTCGTTCGACACTTGTACTATTCCACCAAATAGGGACGCATATTAACGCAATCGCCATCCATATAAAACCGATTTTGTGAAGAAGACTTTTATCACCAAAGGACTTTTCTGGCTTGACCGATTTCTCATCTGCCATTCTATAAATGATGATTTCGCTAACTTCTTTTCAGGATTTTTAAATTAATTGAGAACTTGAAGATCCTTCAATATTACTTTTCGCTTGTAGATTCTTCATTTCTAGCTCTCTCTGCCACTTAGCGGCTTTGCTTTCGTAAAGAATATTATGATAATAGCCTTTTGATAGCGCCCACGTTAGTGTGAAGACCTAAAGAAAGTATTATTTTCGATGAATAGATTGGAAAAATACCAGCAAACTGCTCGAAATCGCGGTCATAAACCAACCATCCTTCGCCAGAGGAGACAAAAGAGCGCTCATTGTTGCGGCTGACGTCGTACCAAAAGCTTTTTCGTGTTTAAAATATTACGAAGAATAAAAACAACGTAATTATCTTTTGAAACATGCCTTGAGCCAGTAAATCACCAGTAATTTCATTTGGAAATAATTCGACGTATTTGAAATATGCTATTTTGAAATCGAAATTATTCTGAAATCAAAGAAGAGTACAATTGATTCCGACCGTTTCCTAGTAAACCAAAGAGCGTCGCAACATATTGAGGAGCTCCTCGGTAGATCCAATACGATCTTCTTCTGTAGACAACAAGAAGAACGGGAAATGCGAGGGTTAATGATCCTGTTACAAGAAGGCCTCTGTAGCTAACGTCCTAAAAGAAGTTTTGAAACTGAAAACTGCTGCGTTCAACCTTGAGTAAATCTGTGTAAGGATGTCTTGGGAATTGTGGATAAAGATAAGTTCCTGCAGCAAAAAGTCCTCCAAGCGCAGCTGATCCCGCAAGAAGGGTGTATTTTGAATAAAGAGGATATGGTTCTCGCACCAACCGAGTACCATCGACTCGGAGTTGGGGCAAACCCGATATTGATCGTCGAACAAGTTTTATGACCATTCTAAATCATGCAAATTCAGAAAAAGAAATTATTGACCTTTATTCATCATTCTTTTCAACAGGTCTATTATCGGCAATAAGAATAGGTTTTGAAATTTGACGAGGGCTACCCTTAATGACAGACTCAACGTCAAAAATATCCGCTTGGGCGTAGTAAATCTCTGGCCCGTCTTCAGTCATTTTCGTTTCCGCATAAATTTGGGCGACTTTTCTACCGGAAGAGCAGTCGTTGGGTCCTTTCACGTAAAACTGCGAGCGACAAAATTCAACACCATTTTCTAAATATACAAATTTTCGCCTTATTTCCGCAATATAGTACCTTGATATTTGCTAAAAGGCGGATCAAAAGAGCGGCGCGGCTCTCGATTGTTCCTGTAATAGTCGACCAGCTCATTGATGTCGGAAAATGCTATTTTTGGAGAGTCGAGTTTGATGTCCAAATCGTCGTTTAGAAATGCGATGTCTTTCATCACCTCGACTGCGGCTGATTGCCCGTAGTACTTGTCGTGCAAAATTGCTTTAGAAGCGTAATAAACTCCGACTCCGACGCCACCAAGAGCAATTATCGGAACAACACTTGATGCGAGGCTATCTGAGGATCTTCTGCATTGGTTTATCAAGGGTCGACAGATTCTACTTTGCCGGAGCATTCTGTATTTATTCTGAAAGCCCTGATTTAAAAAAACGGTAGTGGAAATGAAGAATGAAGAATTTCGCTGAAGTTGACAGAAAATATGAAGTGAAAGCAGAGTTATGCAGAATTTCAGATTGTAATCTCAGTTGACAATCTGAGAGATAAACGATTTTCCGGTGATCGTCTCGGTGCAACCCACAATGATTTCGCGTCCCAGCTGGTTGCTGAGGTGGCTGAGTGCAGCGACTAGAATTTTATGCGCATTACGAAACTAAGTGTTCAAACTTACTTTCGGAAGCAGTAATGCCACCAATCATGAACACAAAAATCGCTGTCGCCCTTTGATTCTCAGAAACTTCGACATCTTGTTGCTCCTCCCTGAAAAGATCGAATAATTACAGTAACTCAATAGCGAACATGCTCGGACGTGGCTATAGAAAACTATCTGCCCCTCGAGTATCATTGAAGTATAACTTTTGTCCCTCTTTTGTCATGCCAATTGAGCCACTTTTATTGATTTCTTTTGGCAAAAGAATGAGGAAGACGAAGCTGAAATCATGAGAAGCACCACGGGTAACAGAACTTGGGGGATTATGCAAAGACATGTAGTATGGATATTGGCGATCGATGCTTAAGTCATTAGCCTCAATCACAAGATGTCAACCAGGGACGTAATGAGTTGTATATTTAAGGGATCCCCCCCCGATCCGAAAAATTTTCCCAAAAAGTATCGAGCGGTGCATATTTAGATTCCTCGTGATCTGAGCGTCATTTTTTAGCTTTATGTCAAGGCCCTCATATCACGTAATTTCTCGTGAGAGCGTGTTGAAGTTGCATTATAATCTATACTTAGCAAAAATTTTCGATTTTTTCAGAATTTGAAGGTCTTCATAACGAGGCAAATAGGGGCTTATTTGAAAGCATATAACGCCCTCATCAAGAAATAAACAGTTTTCGAGAAAGAAATTCATCACTTGGCGGCGATAGAGAGCAAAAAGACTCCAAAAGATCGCTAAAATGACGGCTGAAAGTTTTATAATAAGAAAATTTTTTTCTACTTTCCCAAACTTGATGATCATGCATGCAAATGTAGACAAGGGTTCAATCTTCCTAATCATGAAGAGATATTAGGAATCCATAAGCCCAATAAAAAGTAGATACAACTTGAAAATGACCGAAAATGGCCGTTTTTGGCAACCTAACTCACTTTGACGGCTTCTAATGCATAAGTGAATCTTATAACTAGGGGCTTATCATGCATGCATTTGCTCGTCAAAAAACGGGCTTCAATTTGAGCCCCTATACAGCCCCACACGGATGACGAGTAAAAAGTAGATAGGGGTCAAAGTTGGGAAAATTGGGGGGGGGATCCCTTAAGGCACTGTAGAAGTCCAAGCCAGAAAAATTCAAAGGGAACTTCAAAAAACAACCAATAAATTTAAATGATCTGTCAAGAGTTCGTTTTTATGGTAGAGCATGGGATCAATAAACCGAGCTGTCATAAATCATCAACCCTTTATAGGCCCGGAAGTGACGCCTTTCGAATCCGAAATTATTCTTTGGCCCAATTAACTGACCCATGAAGTTCGGGGATTTTCGTGTTTATCAAATTTGAGTGGTACCATTTTCAACGTAAATATCCCCTGGAAGTAGCACTAATCCACGGCTAGATAAACAGATCGCGATTGGGCTTGACAAAACGGTGACCTGGAAATATCAACAGTTGAGTCGTTTGAGACGGTTCTCTCTTTTGAACTTGAGTCGTGAAATTTCTTGCGACTTTTTCCGATTTCCGGTCGGTAGCAACGCTGGAAGTGTTTCAACTTGGCAAATTTCAATTTTATGCTTCCCGGAGCGAATAAAAGCCGCAATTTGTAGATATCAGATTAGGAAAATCCCAGCTCGAATAATCCCACAGAAACTGTAAACTGGATAGGAAGAAGTAGTCGGCTTATTCGTTGTAGTTTTTCAAAAAATCATAAGAATGGGTCACCTGCATCCTGAGTATTCGGGGCGAATTTCCGTTTGGATTTATGAAGTGGCGGAACTAGAAGCTTTATTTGGACCTCTTGAGAGATTAGCTATATTTAATCAGGCAATTTTTGAAATCACAGAGTGCTATTGTGCTGATTTTCTTGTTACTGTTAATTTTTAGACAAAGCGGTTCAACTTATGAACTCATAAAAAATGTCAGGATTCAGCAAGAAAAAATTTAAAAAACGGAAACGACGCGAATGGTGGATTCTTCTGGCAAGAATCCGTATAAGAGTCACAATATTTGGATAAAAACCTGTCTAAATGATGGGCTTACAGATACAAAAGGGTAAAATCGACTCCGAAAGAAGAAATAGAACATTCGCAGTAGGAGCCCGTACCAGAGGTGTAAAGCCAAAGCATGACCTTTTTGTAGCTAGTAGTGACCCAGTAATTAGTATCAGATCGCCAATTAGCTCACGCTGTGCCCTTCGTGGAGCGCGCGCTCGCACCAGCTGGATCATCGAGCGCCACCACGCGGGCGCTGTCGACAAAAAATATAAAACCAGCGCGAGGAAAGGGGCAAGAGACACGCATACTCAAAAACAGAAACTTTGAAAAAAGACACCATGGTTACCCAGACAAGAGCTCGACGAACTAGGCTGAACTCTGCGCCTGATAGACTAGAGATCAACAACGAAGAAAAGAGCAACGAAAAAATGCGAAAAAAGCGATTCATCGAGACCCGAATGAGTTCCTTTGGCAACATGCGCATCGTGGAGATTCCGGAAATCGACACTTCTGAGAAGTACTTTTGCAAGTCTTGCGACAAAAGCTTCTATCACAGAAGCGCACTCGAGGCTCATCAATTGATCCACTCGACTCTCGATCTGAGCACTTCATCAGAAGACTCCAACCAAGGATCGCCAAAGAAATGCACAAGCTGCAAGAAAAAGTTCTCCTCCACCCTTCGACGAAAAATTCACGATATGAAATACCACACAGACGCTGTTGGAACGAAACTCGAAATTCTAGCTGTTTTATAAATTATTCATCCCTTCAAATTTACAATTTGAGTTTTACAAGTTCAGTGGAAATATTTCTGTAAATAAAATTGATTCGTTTCCAAAAAATGCCTCTTTGATCGACGATTAATAAAAAGAAGCTTTCAAATTATAAAATTATTCGAAGCCAATTGAGCGCGAAATTCGAAATGCTTCGATTCGCGCGAAAAATTACTCGACTGTAACTGATATGCGAAATTTTCAGGTACAAAAACAGCATGTGTGAATTGTGATCGGCAATTTTGTAAATAGGGGCCATGTGTCAAAATATCGATATTAGAAGACAAAAAACGGATCAGAAGGATTGGGATCAACGTCAACTGAAAAAATGGCGGTGCGCCAAGGGGCTAAGACGTATCGATTATTTTCGTCCTTTTCTATGAAAAATTTACGATTGGGAAAGCACCTGAATCAGGGATCTAAATTTTTTCGCGAAAATCGCAATTTGCGAATATTTTGCGATTGCGATGCGAAATTTCGCAGAAAATTCGCAATCGCAAAAACTTCTCTGACCGAATCGCAATCGCATCGCAATCGCAGCTCAGTTTTCGTCAAGATTTCGCAAAATGCGATTTTTTTGCGAATTTTCGTCTTGTCAAATTACTCCCACGATGTTCTGACCTGAGTTCTGTTTAACTCAGAGCCTTTTTTTCTTCAAAAAATAGTCTTAAATCCTTTCAAAAGTGATTTTCTTCACTCAAATTTCGGAAATCGCGACAAAATCGCAATTCGCGAAAAATTCGCAATTTGCGAAAAACATCGCAATCGCATCGCAATTTCCGTAATATTTTGCGTCGCAATCGCAATTGATTTTCGGCAAAAATTTAGATCCCTGACCTGAATGGGATCTTCGTCGACTTCAGGAGCTCGTCGATTCTTCGCCAGCTTCCTGCGCTTGATTCGAGGACGAGTCTTGAAACTAGCGGGGTCCATTTGTTGCCAAAAACGAAGCTTTGATTCGAAGGGTTGAAAAGGTCGTTATTTGTCTCGTTGAGTTTGAGTCCTTTGATGAAAATGTCGCGCCCGAGGCGTGCGTTCTTTTCGCTCTGAGCGTACAAAATTCCACACTAATAATCGAGGTGCCAAAAACTTGTTCTGATAACTCGTTAATCCGCGCTCCAGTACCGGAACGAATCTTGACATGGATTTGGCACCAGTTCCTGGGCGGCCTTCATAAAACACAAAAGTCTATCGTGCCCGTAAATGTTCAATAAATCGCCGCGATAAGCGTCCAGAAACTTTTGACTCAGTCCGTTATTTCTCCAACAAAGAAGAACGAGAATTTTCAACGCTTCTTCGAAAGGAACCTATGAATTTTGTTGAATCGAAAAAGCTAAAAGAAGATCACCTCAATTTCCCCAGAGCAGATGAGTTCCATGCTTTCTTCTGGCGAATTTGCAAGCGCTGCGTGCTCAAGCTCAACGGGTTGGGTGGATAGTTTGTCCAAGATGTCAGTTGCCAGGTCGCTGTGATTATTTAAGGTTTCGCGTTCTTTATTCAATTGAGGCATTCTAGCTACGAAGGCTTTGTATTCTTGGATGGATTTTGCACTTTCCCTCAAAATGGAATATCAAACCGATTCTTTTATGTAGTACTTTTTGTTATTTGATTTTTGAAACTTAAAAGTATATACTTGAGAAGTATATTCCCGTGGCTTTCGTCGAACGAGCTTTTCAACGTTCTTAGTTTCTGTGAAATGATGCGTGCAGCGTGCTTCACATGGACATTGCGTATTTCATTGAAGAACGGATCGTTTGTTAGGTGCACGGTTTTATCCGGCTTTTCCGCTTGTTTGACCGGAACTTTATTCCATTTCGCCTCGAGGAAGCGTTCGAGCAGAGCATTGTATGAAGTCGGGGTGAGCAATGGGCTCACTATATCTGTGCTTCGGTCGATCAAAAGCAGCGTGGCAAACTGGGGGGACGAGATTTTATCTTCTTGAGGAATGAGCTCCTTTCTCGAGCTCAAGAGAAGGTCAACAGTTGCGCAGGATGTTTTGCCACAAGCGAGTATTTTCGGAAAAACGCCAAAAGTAGCCTGAACAAGTTTGGAAAACATATTTGGGATTGCTCAAGAACCTGGAAAGTCATGAGAGACCGCGCAGTGGTCGAAGGCAAGCACTGGTCCCGGTCGATCAGTTTGCGATAAGAGTTCACAATGTTGAGCGTGATAAGACTCGTGTTGAGCATGAAGAGCTCGATAAAGCAGGGAATTACTGAAGCGATTTTTCCGGGCTTATCTGTCTGATCGTTATAGCATCCCTTCCAGAAGGATTTACAAGTTGCGTAAAAAACAGATTGAAAAAAAGCATAAACTGTTGTATCCTGTCTTTTCCCTGAGTAACTTTTTGTTGATAACAGAGATCTTGGGGACAATTATCAAGTGATACTCTGTATTGGACTGGGCAGGAGTCACATTTGCAACGCGCTCGATTATCGAGACTGTATCTGAGCACAGGAATACTGCATATTTCGTCTGGAATCCCGCGAGTCGGCCGCTTTCCGGAAGAGCGACCATTTTTTCGACGCCGTATTCTTGGAGCAGTTTCACGTCGCTGAAGAGAGTGAATGGTGCGGTCAGGTTGGGATCCCAAATCAAGGAAATCGGCGAATCGAATTTTCGAAGGCATCGCAGAAGCTCCTTTCTGTTTAGTTCTTGAATATCCGAAAGATTGACCATCTTAATGACTTTATAAACACATCAATAACAGACCGAGAAGATAACTATAAGTGCAGTTTAGTAGCATGAAATTGCAGTCAAAGTATTCTTGAATGTTTAAGGCGCTCTTTACAGGTTAGTCTATGCTTTTTGATCATATACATTTTCGGTGCACTGAATCCACAATTAGAGCATTCAAAATCATTATCATCGTCATGGAGACACAACTTATGCTCTTTTAGGTTTTTCTCAAGCGTAAAAGATTTGGAACAAATATCGCAGATATATTTTCGAATATCAAAATGAGTGTTTAAATGATGAGCCAAGTTTGATTTGGTAGATCCTCGATAAAGACAGTAACTGCAGGAAAAGGCTCTATTCTCATGAATATTGATATGAGTTTCAAGGGCAGAATGAAACCGGAAAGATGCCTTGCAAGTTGGATAAGGACAGTTATTACTACCGTGTGCATCAGGCTTCTTTCCATGCCCATGGAAAGCAGCTTGATGCAGATTGAGATTCTTCTGAGAAAATGCAATGAATGAACAGTCAGGTTTACCGCATGGAATATCAACGTAATGGTGAATAGATTTAACATGGTTTACGAGGCACCCATTCGATACTTTGATCGTAAATTTACAGCCAGTCTCACTGCAGTGGATGAAAGTTTTATCTTTGCATTCCCAGTGAAAATGGTCCCTGTTTTCGTAGAAAAAATCGAGATGCTCTTCTGGCAACCCAAAGTGTTTAGCGAGTTTTTTAAAATCATCGGGAACTTCTACAACTTTTTCTTCGTTCACACTATCTTTCGTTATATTCTTTCGCTTCTTGTCTGTTTTTGCCGGTTCTATGTCGACTTTCTTTCGTTCAGGAGGTTTCAGAATTTTAAAACTCAGCGAAACTGGATTTCTTTCAACTTAATTCAAGGGTAAAACATATTCATTCAAGAAAAGTCAACCTTTCAATTCCTTCTTTTTCAAACTTTTATTCAGTTCTTCGAGAGATTCTAGCCTGCCTGATGTCTTTAGATATTTTTTTACGAATTTGATGTATCGATCATTTGTTTTTTCTTTTCCCATTTTCTGAATTGAAAAAGGTAACAAAATTTGTATGAGTGAAGATTTTAGGGAAGTGAGAAAGCTAGTAGCAGTGAAGCAAATATCAATAAGAGCAGTCTAAGAGAGCATTCGCTGAACGTCGGAGAGAATCGGCCTTCCCAATTGTTTTCTCATGGTTCCTTCAATTTCCACTGGTGCTAAATGATCCAGCATATTTGGTAAGCCTTTCTTAGCCAGCTCTTCTTGTAGTTCTTTCTTCAGGTCATCTCTTATTTTTTCATAATGGTTTCTCACTTGATCATTTATGTGCCTACAGTAATGAATCATTACTAATGATGACTATAAAAAATAGGGCCGTGAAACTTTTCTACCTGGAAATATCAAAAGGAAACATGCGTCGATTAACTGCGTCGTGTCTTAAAAACGCTTGTCTTTCTTCGTCTTCATATTTTAGATGATATTTCATCTTTGGAACGTCCGTCATACTGTCCTGTATATCTGTTTCAAATCCTTCGTGCGGGGCCACTTCAATTTCGACGATCCAGTTAGGAATTTCCTGACCGTTATTCTGCAGAACAACTGCTTCTTTACCGCACCAGCAATTTGAAGATTCTCCATTAATTTCATGAGGGTTGAAATCATCCTCTTTTGTATCGTTTTTCATCTTATGAAAATCTTTTCGCTTTGAAGTGATGGACGCTTTTGCCGAGACCGCTTCTTCCCGACAAATTATTGGCAGAAATCCGACAGAAACAAGTCCAGGGCGAACTACTGGGTTGAATCTTTCAAGGGCGTCAAATACAGAAACTGACAGGTGATCCATTTGATTTGGAGTTAGACTTAGACCACGGACTTGACCTGAGTCGCGGATGCCCAAATAAATTGTCCCGCCTTTTCAAGGGAATAAAAATTTAACCAGCTCGAATCCGTCTCGAATGGGTCTATCAAGCCTCTCATCCCTTTCCTAGACCTTGATTGAGAAAGCCGCAAATGACGGTGGTGATGGGATGGAGCCTAAATCCTCCGCGCTTTATCTGTTTCTGTGTAATGAACCAATGGTTCTTGAACTCGTGCGTTCTGTCCTCTACTTCGTTTATTTTTGCTCCTTGGCAATAATATCGCTTCCAGCATATTTTTGAACCCATTCTTAAATCGAAAATGGGTTGGTTTTCGATAGATCATTGACGATGATACCCTTAGGAATCACACGATTCTAAGATGTTACTGCCTTTTGGACAGAAATATCCAATCCGAACATCCTCATTTACCTCTTACTTGACAATTCCTGCTCTGCAATAAAACAAGAAAGAATATGGTTGTGTAACAAAAAGGCAGTTTTATTCCGCGGAATGTGTGTGTTGAACTTGTGTGCACAGTGAAAAACGGTCATGTGAGTACAGGAATATATACAATAAAATGTGTTGTGAATGAAAATAAATATACAAGATGAATTATTTAAATATTTATTGCTTTCCTTGGAAAGCTTTTTTGGGGTCGAAGCGTCGTACGTTCCGGACGACGTTGAGGTCATCACGAAGAGCGTCGTTTTCTTTCTTGAGCTTCTTCATCTGACATTCGGCGAAGGAGAGTTTGGTCTTGAGCAGCTCGTTCTCGTCTTTGATCTTGTTCTGAAAGAAATGTGAACAAGGCGCTCTTGAATTCATTGACTTACCATGTACTTGATCTTTTGCTTGTGATTCGCGTGACTCATCTGGTCCGCCAATTTCGAGTTCAGGGCTGCCAACTCCTTCGACTTCTTTTCGTTTTCAGAGCTGAATTGTTCATGTTACTACATTTTAACTGTTGATTTGACTTACCCCCAGTGTCTGCTTTCTTCAGCGAATTTAGCGAGGTCAGCTCTGATCGGCGCGTAGAAGTTCTCGAGCTCTTCGTACTCCGCCTTCCACTTTTCGCACATGGCATCTGATTCCGCCAATTTAACGTGGAGATCTTCGATTTCCGTAGTGCTGAAAACATGTGAAAACCGACTCGTCGAGTATTCTTACTTACCGATCTGTAGCGTCGGCCAATTTCCGCTCGGCAGCGGTCAACTGAGCTCGGAAGTTTTGTTTCTCAGTTTCGGCCGCCTTCAGCTTTTGCTGGAGCGCCGTCAGAGTGCCTTCGTGATCCTTCTTGAAAAGCTCTAGTTGCTCTGTCTTCTGCAGCTGCTCGTCGTATATGGCTCGAAGATTGTCTCGCTTTATCTTGTATTTGGCGCTAGAAAATAAAGTTAATAAATTGAGAAAATAGCGAACGGCTTACCCATGCTCTCGAAGAATTTCAGCTTCTTTTGCAATTTCTCGTTTCTCGTTGACGATTTTCACGAATTTCGCTTCATGATCCTTCGATGCCGCCCTAAGAGTCGAGACTTCTTCCTTCATCGCCGTGAACTCTTCAGAAGAACAGACATTCTTTGCCTTGGCTTCTTCAAGTTCAGCTTTCAAGCGAGCGATTTCAGAAGAAAGATCAGATTGCGCAGATTCGGCCGAGTTGAGCTTCTCCTCGAAGGCTTTCATTGCAGAGTCTGATTGTTCGATCTTCTCAAGTAACTGGACATTTTCAGCCGCAGTTGCCTAAATTATCAGTGTTAAGTAAATTTCAAAAAGCACAAAAGTGCTAAATAGAGAATTACCTTGATCGACTCTTCAAATTGCGAAATCTGCAAGTCCTTCGCTTGGGCAGCGCTTTGAAGTTCAGAAATCTTCGCTTCTGATTCAGCTATTTCTAAATCTCGAGCTTCAGAATTCGCCTTCAGCTGCTTCTCATGGATTTCCTCGGCTTCTTTGAGCTTTTCTTCTTCCTGGAGAAGAGCTGCCTTCAAATTTTCGAGAGCCTCGCTGATTTTCTGATTTTCGGAGAGTTTCTCTTCAAGCTCGGCTGACTTCTCGCTCAAGTTTTCTTTCAACCCTGCGAGTTCGTTGCTCAACTCATGGATCTGCGCCGCCTTCGATTCCTCAGAAGCTGCGGATTTTTCAGAAGCATTTGTCAACGCGGTTTGATGAGTTCTGATCTCTTCCTCCAGGACTTTAATTTGGTCAACTTTTTCAGCGACAGAAGCCATTAATTCTCGCACTTTTGCTTCGGTAGTTCCCTATAAATGAAAGTTAGCTTTTAGAATATCTCTGGTCAAAATATAATGTACCTGGACTTCTCTGAGATCCTTCTCAAGCGCCTTGCACTCATCCCGCTCAAAACGCATCTGCTCGAGTTTCTTCACAAGCGAGTCAGTTTCGCTCACTTGGGAGCCGATATTCTGCTTGAGCGATGTATTCTCGGACTCTTTTATTTTCAACGTCTTGTGCGCTTCTTCGAGCGTTTGCTTGAGCCCGTTGATCTCTGCTGCGTACACGGCGTTGTCTTCTTTCAGCAAGGCGACATTCTCTTTCAGTGGCTCGAGCTCAGCGATTCTGTGCTCCAGGTTGAAGTTAGCCAGGTTCGCCTTTTGTAATTCGTCGCTTTTGTTTTTCAGCGTTGTCTGAAATAGAATTGGTAATGGATTTCTGAAAGTATAAAAATGATTGAATTCCAGGGGCACAAGCTACAGTTTGTTAAGTCCTGTAGCTAGCGCCGTCTGGGATTGAAATAAATGGTACAAAATGATGAATCAGAAAATAGCATGCGTTTAAAATATACAAACCTTGTGTTCTTGCAATTGGACCTTGAAAAGTTTTTAAGATGAATCGGAATGAATGAATTTTCTTTTCTTTTGTAAATAAGAAATCAACGATGAAAACACCGATTGTTATTCTTACCTCTGATTCTGTAATTCTTCCTTCTAGCGCGACGATTTGACCTCTGAGCGTGACCAATTGAGACTCCTTTTCTGTGATCTGTTTGAAAGTCTCGTCTTCTTTCTCCTTCAGCTGGCGCAGCTGATCTTCAAGGATTTTGACTTCTTCGCCCTGATATCTTCTGTGAGAATAAGTAAAAAAGGCAGCTTACCTTTGTCTTGCTGATTTCTAGCGAGTCCTGTAAGGCTTCAAGCTGCTTCTGGAGGCGCGGAACCTTTTGCGCTTCTTCCTTTACTCGCGTGTAGTCTTCCTCGAGCTCGTCTTTCAAATCAGAGATCTTCTGATAGCGTTGTTTCAGTTGAAAATGGTCCGACTCGAGCTCCTGAAAACCGCTCAAGATTGAAGATAACTTTTTTCGAAATACTGACCTTGTATTTGGCCATTTCCTGGGACATGCTCATTTCGAGCGATTTTGAAACTGTTGACTTTCTGGTCCCTCGTTTTGCGATTTTGAAGGGCTCTTTTGACGGGGTCGATTGAGGAGGACCAAGAATCGACTTGTCAGTTTGGTAGGCTCCGCTGATGCTGCTTATGTCCATCATGCTCTGGTCGCGGTACTGGAAGCCGCCTTTGACTCTCTAAAAGATGATTAAATGTCGTTCGGGAAAACGGTTCGAATGGTTAGTAAGAATTTCTTACTAAGAAATGCAGATTTTTTAAATAATTTTTTAGTTATCGATGCAAGGACAATCAAGCAAGTTTATTTGATCACCAAAGATACACCAATTTTTGAGTGATTTGGGTTTTTCAACAAACCTGGCCATTTTGACCGTAATAGCCCCAGATTGACTGAATTAGATTAGTGAAATTTATGATTGTTAGCAATTTTTCCTTTTTAATTAAAACTCACATGGTCATTTTGAGGATTGTATCGCTCGGGCCCAGGAAGATTCTCTTTATTTTTGGTCACGTCGTCGAAGTAGGTTGTTCGTTTGGATTTCGCGAAAGACATTTTTTAAAAATTTTAAATTTGGCTATTCTCTCTGATTTTCAAGAGAGCAAGTGAGGGACAAGCGCCAAGGCTGCGTCGTTCAAAAGCGCGCGATTTGGGATCCACCAATCGCGCTCGCTGCTCTAGATTTTGTCGTTGGCTACAGCGAAAATCTCAATAGGGATTAAAATAGGTGACTGCCTTAATCGTCGCTAAAACGTTGCATCGGTTGCCTTAATCGTCGTTAAAACGTTGCATCGGACTGCTTTAGTCGTCGCTAAAACGTTGCATGGGCTGCCTTAATCGTCGTCTGACTCATCTTGCCTTTTTCAATTTCAAGATAGGTAGGCGCGCGCCAACCAGCGCTTTCAGAGTGTTTCTAGACTTTCCAGATTCTCCCAAGACGACGATTAAGGCAGCCCAATGCAACGTTTTAGCGACGACGATTAAGGCAGCCGATGCAACGTTTTAACGACGATTAAGGCAGTCTCCTATTTTACTTAGAAATGTAAATCAGTGGATTATCAGTGGAGTAGGACCGCTGTAGTTCAACTTGGCGATCGCCGATTTGCTTTTGTGTTTTCAAGTTTTTGAAAACAAGCTGCAGGTGAAAATTTAAAAAATAGACTGAGTTCACGCCGTTGCGAGGAAAAAATGTTTTTCAATTTGGACCGGTATTTTATCTAGAAAAAGCTGGCCTCCACAGAATCTTTAGAAAGGCTTGATTAGCTGCATTTTTCCTAGACCACCTTCAGACCAAAATTGGGGGTTGCCTCTACCTTCATCCTCCTTTTCTCTGTCGTCTGCTAATCATCCATAACAATTCAACATTTGAATTTCAAGTACGTATTCTGCATTTAGACTTGATAAGCTACACATTTGTTCTATGCTCATGCTCGAGTACATGCAATGAAACACGCAAGTTTTTGAAATTTTAAACTTTTTATTTGCCTTTCGTTTTTTTGTGCAAAAATATAACTGAGATGTAGATAAATGAATTACTTTTAATATGGGCAGTTTACTCAAGAGTCCTGGAGCTCTGAACGCTGTTTTGATGCAAAAGAAAGTGAAAAATAAGAGAAACTAAGTAAAGATAAATGGTAAAAATTAAATTTGAAACTGAGTTGTTAATAAATAATTGAACTCTTGTGCTTTGGCAGTATCACTTCTGAAAGCTAGGCAAGTTGCTCCAGTACGGTACTGGATCGAAGGGAGAGGGTTTATCTTCTTTGGCGAGATGCTCACCAGCTGCGATTTGAATGCGTGTAACCTTCGGCTTTTCAGGGTTTTGCGATTTAACTCTCCAATTTGGCTAAAAAAGAGGAGATGATAGTAAAAACGAGAAACCCGTGACAACCAGTGAGGAAGCTTTTGATACTCTTTGCATGGCTCCGTGTAGTTTTCGCCTAGAACAGGGGTTCCGTCGTTGAGAGTGATATATTTCGTCTTGATAACTGGATCGTAATACTCCTTTATAGCCGGCATTTGGTTATCTGAGCGAGACTGGCAGACGTCAGACTGGGCAACGTCGGTCTTCTGCTCGACGTATTCACTCTTAATTTCATTTTCGAGGAATGGCTCCTCCTTGATTTCTGTTTTGATAGATGGTTCGTTTTTGATTTCAGCCTTGACATCTGCTTCAGTTTTGATTGTCTGCGATTTTTCAAAAGCTAAAGGTCAAATTTATTGACTAATTAAAAAGTTCTGAAATGATTTCATGATTTCTAAAAGGCGCTTCAAATTTGAGACCCTGTTTGTTTCACCCTGTTTTAATAATATTAATGCCAGATTAACAGGTTAATTCTCATTCCCGTTTTTCAACCCTAAACTATGCATCCTGATTTTTCATTGAAAATCGATTTTTATCACGGCGCAAGAGTCATTCTGAGTTTTCACCGAAACCTGAGAACAGGGACAGGTTACACAGGGTTAAACCTGTGTTGATTGGACGAGACAGAAAGTCTCGCGGGCGAATAGGCACTCAGGGCAGTTTTCTGCGCACAGGGCGACCTGTTTTGAATTGAAAACAAAAACTGTCCGTTTATCTGTGTCCGCTCAGAAGCATCAATTTTTATCACGATTTTGAAAATGTATAAAAGACAGAGGATGAACGAAGATTGGACCGGGGATTGGAAGGGCATTGTCAAAGACCGGGTTGACAATCCCTGGAATGGAGATGACTGGGTACCATGGAACGTTCCTGAGAAAGTGTACGATCTGGTAGAGCCACGAGTGATGGAACTAGAAGAGCTCATTTTATGCGGTACTTATCCTGGCGATACTCGTTTGTATAGAACTGGTCTTTTACGATGTCGTTTAGAGGGATGCCCATGTTACGGAAAGGTGATTATTTAATGACTAAAAAGAAACTAACTCGAATTTAAGAAACTAAGAACCTACGTGAATAGCACAAAAACAGATCGCCGAGCAGTAAAAGCGATGTGCGACAAACATAAATTGAAATACCCTCTGACCGAAGAACAGAATGATCTTATCTCCCAACAAATGCATCAAACTGCAGTTCAGAAGAAAGCTTCCGCGAAGCTAAACCTAACACAAGAGGTTGTAGCAATCTGTGCGGATATCATGACAAAGCTCTCAAAACATGACCTTCCCCGAGATTTCTGGACTACGGAAGAAATGTTTGTGTTCATTTACGGACTTGTCGAGCGAAAACAACGAGGAGAACCAGTCACCGAAATAACTATCGAAGAGCATCTTCAGTAATTATTTTCATTTTGAACATTCTAATATAATTTCACTAGAAGTGTGAAAGTGCGACATGTGTTGAGGAATCAAACCATTCTCGCCATCGGAAACGAGCCGCGAAATCAGCTTACTGAGGCTCAAATAATGGAGCTTACTACTATTAATTCTGAACAAGTGAAAGTCGAGCCGATGGATGCTGAAAATGACGGAACTCTGATTCAGGAAATAAACGTCGAAGATGACGATGGAAATGGTAACTTTTTGTGAATTAATTTGACTAAAGATGATTTTAGACATCTCTTTGAACAACATTATTAATCAACCGGTGAATCTATCAGAATCGTTTGCCAAATTGATAGCATATCATAATGCGACTCTTGCTCCTACGAATTCGACTCAAATATCAATACCTTCAGACGACAAGCCGAGTAATTCAACTGTAATTGCAAGCAGTACAGAAGCATCACTCGTCGCAGAAGGTGGTTCTGCTAATATAGCAGCAGCTACCACTTCGACCTCCAATGATGCAATAGGCGATTCTCCTGAGCTGGAGAATACTGGCGAAAAAATCGAGAATAATGATGATAAGAAGCAAAGGAGTCTGACGCCCCGAAAGACGCAGAAATCCCGCAATATCCGGGGAACTGTACAGACCTTTTCGGTGTCTATAAACGCTGGGAGTCGATTTTGACAAATGAAGCAAAGGAAAAGCTTTTCGCAGACTTTTCGCTCAACAAACCTCTCTATCAAAGTCCAGACGAAATCGAGGACGTGGATCTAAAGCTAACGATACGAGACGAATGGATCGCTGAATTTCCTTCTTGGCTTTCAAACTTCAAGCCGTTGAATTCAATAGATGACGGATCCAAACAGATACCACTATCGGATATTATAGCGATGCGGCAAATGTATAGAACTGAATTAGAAGCCCGCCACACTCCAGTCAAATAGAATCAGTTAAAATTTCAAACTTGCTCAAAGCTGTGAATAAAATGAAATAAAATAAACAGAATACAGATTTCCAAATTTTTCTAGTTTACCTTCATGTGACTCCTTCATTCTTTGAAGCTGATTAAACAGGGGTAAGATCATATGCTGCTCAAAAACGGTGAAATAATCGCACGGCTCGGTTGGATCGTTGACAAAAGGGTAGCTCGCAATAGGAACATTAAATGGCCACTGTTTTGCGCGAAAAGGTTCATCGACAGTGCCATCCTCTCTTAGTACAGGCTTCATTTCATCGTAATCGGACATCTTCCAATGCTAAGAACTATTGCTTGATAAATGATTGAACGAAAGAGACTCGCAGATACGGAACATAAAATATATATTTAAAATTTTCTATTTTGAACTAACAGGAGTAAAAACTGTGTATTGAAGGCATCTGGCCGTACATGTGATCAGGTTAAGTTTTTTGAAAAGTAAAAATACATGGTTGTTGATACGGCGCGGAATGACAGGAATCCAACGAGAGACAAGAGGTAGCGATAAAAGAATTCCTAAACGCCAAAACTCTGTGGCGTGCATTTTTATTATTATTTTCTATTCTCAGGCTTGGTCCTTGAATACAGTAATAGGGTAAATAAAAGGTGAAAAAATCTAGGCGGCGTGTGATGACGATAAAACGGAAGTTGGATAGGAGCTTTAGTTTTGCGAAACTGCGCCAATTCCTTCGCTACCGTCCGCGCGTTTCGTTCCTTGGACGATGTCGTCGATTCTCAGCAGAAGAGTTGCTGTTTCGATCGCGGTTTTGTACACTAAAATGAACGTTTAGTTCATTCTCTGTCTTGGTCGATGGAAATCTAACCTTGCAATTTGACAGTCAAAGGCTCCCAAATATCAAGCTTCTCCATATCGCAAATCTTTCCAGTTTCGCCGTTCACGCCGTGATTGTTGTTTCCCTTGGCGTGCAATGCTCGCAGCTCTGTCAGTGTTCTGATCGTGTTGCCACCACAGTTCTGGACGAGTGTTCGGGGAATCACTTCCAGGGCTCGGGCGAGAGCTCTGTAGGGGAACTGTTCTTCGCCGTGGTACTTCTTTGCATTTTGATTCAAGAAGCTGCCGACAGCGAGTTCGCAAGCGCCGCCTCCGGGGACGATTTTGCATTCAAGAAGCACGTTTCTTGCGACCTAGAAAACACCATCAAATATTGAAATTTATACTAAGAAACAAACCTGCATGGCGTCCTGAAGGTTTCGCTCAACTTCCATGAGAACGTCCTTGGAAGCGCCTCTCAAGATGATTGTACAGGCAGTGTTCTTCTTGCATTCAGTAACGTAGGTGAAGTATTCTTCGCCGAACTTTTATTTCGAAGAGACCGGCTTCGGTTCCAATGTCGTCCTCGCTGATCTCGTCGGTTCGCGATTTGATTGTCGCGCCGCAGCATCGTGCGATTCGAAGGTTGTCTGTTTTTCGGACTCGTCGGATAGCTGAAAAAGAAGTAAGAGTAGAGAGCTATGAAAAGTAAAGACTTACCAGTGATTCCAGCCTTGGCCAAGAAGTGCTGTGCCAAATCGGAGATGCCCTTCTCGGTGAAAACAAGGGTTGGCTTGAGAGCGATGATGTTGTCACAGATTTCTTTGATATAGTTTTCTTCGAGCTGGAGAATTCGGGTGAAGTCGGCTTCGTTCGACAACTCCATGTCTGTTTGACTCTCTCCCTGGAAAGTGGGTTAGATGGGAAAAGGGCTTTGGAAGTTGTTACCTTTTGATATTCAAGGGAGCAATCCAAGAGAAGAATTCGTGGGTTCTCGATTCGTCGCTTCATCTTTGGGTGAGTGATGTCTTTGTTCAACATAACTCCGTTGAGCACCTTAAATTTTGGCTACTGTAACTGTTCAAGATGCGAATACAGTACCTCGCTATCTTCAATATGGCCACCAGGAATCTTCTCGACTTTCGCAAATCGTTTGATATCAATTTCAGTTCGGCCATTTTCTTTGATATGAACGGTTCGGACAGCTTTGATGGCCATCTTGGTAGCCAAATCCATCCATCGGCTTTGACAAGCGTTACTTTTTGAAATAAAAGTAAGGATGAGTACCTGATGAATTTCGTTCCAAGAGCTGAGTTGACCAACTTGGCCATGTCTTCGTCATTGTTTGGATCAATGGTCTTGCCGAAATCATTGTTCATGAATTCGTCAATGTCTTCGAGAGCTAATCGGTAGGCGTTGATGATTTTGGTTGGGTGCATTTGATCCTCAAGGAACTCCTGCGCGGCGGACATGATTTCACCGGCGAGGATGATGACGGAAGTGGTGCCATCGCCGCATTCTTCGTCCTGAGTTCGCGAGATTTCGATCATCGACTTGGCAGCTGGATGCTTGACCATGATCTCTCGGAGGATGGCGTTTCCGTCGTTGGTGACAACGATACCACCCTAAATCAACAGCTAGAATCGATATTGGACTGTTCGATTACCTGAGGATCCATCAACATCTTGTACATTGATCGAGGACCGAGACAGGTTCGGATAATGTCAGCGACATGCTTTGTGGCCTGGACATTTCCAAGTTGGACCTATTATTTAAGTACAATTTAAAATCGGAATTCAGATTTACCTTTGAGCCTTGCTCACGTTCAGTATTTGGCTTGAGAACTGCGATCTGTGACATTCTAAAGACGATTCTTTTCAGAAATGGCGAAAAAGTGAAGAAAACAGAGAAAAGGGATGTGGATCTAGAAAATTTTTAGCATTTTTAGAAATTTTCGGATGTCCTCTATTCTTTCTATTTATTTTTAATGCCGGGTTGCTAGAGAGATTTTTACTGTCTAGTGTTTTTACTGGAAGGTTCGGGAAATTTCGAGGCGAAAAATTTTCTTGACTCTTATTCTTCTCTCTCGCCTTGGGGCTTAATTTTTGAAAAGATGGATTTCTGTTTCTTTTGAGCCTTTTTTCTCTTTGAACACGGTATTTTAGAAAGAAAAACCGGAGGATTTTTCTCTTTCGCCTGACTCACTTCTTCTGGGATCCGCGCCAATGAGCGCCCGTCGCTAGGGAAAAGGAAGAATTCGAGAAAAGAATCGGTCAGGCACGGAATTTTTGAAGGAGGAAGGAATTTGTGAAAATGGGGTTTTTCGAGCACAAAGAGACGATAGAAGAGAATGATACAGTAATTGTCTACATTAGCAACGATGATTTATTTCCGATAATTGCCAAAAGCGGGGATGTAAAACAGACGAAATTCGGGTAAGTTAAGATCATCAGAGGATTATTTCTATGGATAATTCTAGTGCAGTGAAACACAACGAAATAATCGGTAAAAAATTCGGTTGCCGCTACGACTGTGCTCGTGGGTACGTTTACCTTCTTTTCCCGAATCCTGAAATTTGGACGTTGTCACTTCCCCACAGGACTCAAATTTTATATACTCCTGACATCTCTCGCATTATCTTCGAACTTGGGCTGAGCAATGGAAAGGTTGTTTGCGAATCGGGAACTGGTAGTGGCTCCCTTTCTCATGCTATTGCCAGGGGTATTTATCCGAATGGACATCTTCATACAGTAGAATTTCATGAAGAAAGATCGAAGAAGGCTAGAGTGGAGTTTGAACATCATGGGCTCAGGTACGCTAGACAAACGAGCTTTCTCTAAACGATGAATTTAAGCAAGAACATCACCGTCTACCACCGTGATGTGTGCGAACAGGGGTGGCCTACAGAAGTGGATCACAAAGCAGACGCTGTGTTTTTGGACATTCCGGCTCCTTACAAAGCCATCGAGCATGTAAAACGCGCTTTGAAGCTGGAAGGCGGCGAGTTTTGCAACTTCTCGCCCTGTATTGAACAAGTCCAGGTACTTTTCACCCTTCCGGAGAAGCTCTGAATTGTGATGATTTTAGGAGACTTGTGAAAAACTTAGGGAGGGTGGATTTACGAATATCAAGACAATCGAGTGTATCAATAGCCAGACTACTGTGAAATCCAGTCATTTCCCAATGCCGGACTTTGGAGTGGACTACAGTGAGCTGGAAGAGGCGGGAATTATGCCCAAAGATTGTGAAAAGATTGGAAAATATGTAAAAGTAATAAGGAAAAAAAAGAATCAGAAATAACTCGTTTTGAAGCGATTGGAAAAGGGATCAAGACCGAAGACTCAGAATTTGAAAGAAGAAGCAGGACAAGAAGAAGCGAAAGAAGATTTAAAACTTACTGAATGCAATTTTGTCGTGAAGTCGGCTCTTGCCAAACGCTCCCAATACGGCCACACTGGCTATCTGACGTTTGCTCGACTGCCGCCACGAGACAACACTCTTTAGCTTAATTTTAACTATTTAAAAACAAAACAATAACATTTGAAATTATTCAGATGAGAGGTAGCTAGTGTTCCGATCGGCTAAAATATGGGTTGCTGGTTTTCGAGAAAAGGCCAACCGGTCGAGGAAGAGCAGGTTGAGGAAGCCCCGAAAGAGTATTCTTGGGACAAAAGAAAAAAGGAAGACAAGTCGAAGTTCTACGTTAGAGATGTCGAAAATATCGAAAATTCAGTTTGCAGAAAGTAAGTTAAGAATTAGACGATTTTATATCTTTTTTTAGCGATGTAAAAGATCTACCGATGACGATAGAAAACTGCAAGTCCTGTATCATCTTTCTCAATTGTCTGTGTAAAGAAGTTACGATTGACAACTGCCAAGACATGAAAATTATTACTTTTGCTTCAGGTTCTGTCTATATCCGCGACTCTAGGTATCTTTACCTCCCAAGTAGGCGACTTTAACCTGTTTTAGCAACGTCGAGTTGGTCACGATTTGCGGGCAGCTTCGAACTCGCGATTGTCGCTCAATGCGTCTCTATCTTCATTGCCCCACTCAGCCAGTAATCGAAACAACTCAAAAAGTGACCACTTATCCACTCCCGATCGACTTCGAGAGCATCGAAGAAATCGTCTCTGACTTCGGTCGTTCGAAGTTTTTAAACAACTGGGCAGATGTGAGTCGCAATCGTGCTTTTGTTTCGCTAGAATTTTCATTTCAGATTCATGACTTCGGCCCAGTGGACCATGCAGGGGAGCCGAACTGGGCGCCCGGAACGGACGTCGAAATCGCGCTCAAAGAGGTTTTCGACGAGTTTAATGATACTTTTGACTCTTCGCCTCGACTCTCGCTGGAGAGAACGATTTTCCCTCAAGTTGCGTATCCATATCCTTCTGCTGCCGAAGTTAAAGACGAGATGGTTTTTGCGCTTTTCGCTGGAGAGAAATCAGAAGAACTCGCAACGAACTGTTACTACAGAGTCACGGGGACTCTTAAAAAGGGTAAGTGTTATTTATTTTACTTCAAAGAATTATCCCTTCCCAGCAAAACTAATAAGAAGCACCGCCGGAAAATTGTCTCCCCTGAGTCTGCCAACCCGAGCCCAAAAGTCTCTCCAACTCTCGGAAGGCTCACAAATCGTCATCCTCATTTTCGAGGGCCAATTACTCGCCACTGAAATCTCCAGCGAGGCCGAGCCTGGCTGCTCATTTTTCGCTTTTGGGGACGAAGCACGCACCGAATATGACAACTTCTTCAATACTTCTGCCTTCGGCAATCACAATCTATGATTTTTAACTTTTTTAAATGTGAAATTTATTTTTGTAAAATCCATGATAAACTATCCAGACAAACCTAATACAATTTCTCCATATAGAATGATTGACCTGCTTTACTGGCTTTTCAAAATCATCAAATTTGTGAGCAATTGGCGCTATAGAGTGAGATACAGTTCTATGTGCGGAAGCAAGGATTGCGCTCGCTGTGGTCGCCGCCCTCTTCAATACGAAATCCGACTCGCTCTCTTGTTCTTTCACTGGTTCAATTTCAAAGCGGCGAAAAAGTCCCGGCTCTGGGAGGCAAATCCTAACGGCATGTGGGGATTTCTTCAATATGGAACGATCCTTGACATTCCTGGAATCAAGTCTCGTCCAGTCAATAAATTGGACATTACGCATCAGGATTTCTACTACATGAAGTATAAAGAGATGGAGAGCACTTTGGTATGGAATGAAGTTGAAAAATCGGCCGGGTCTTGGAAAATTGCGAAGATTATTGACCAAGGACAGTGCGCAGAAAATTTCGATGGATCTTTGGTCAGTCATTTGGCAGAATTCGTCCCGTCAAATATTCTTTTCAACGCTTCGTTTTCGAAGTTGACTGTTGACCTGTCGAAAATCGGTGAAGAAGATGAAGAGCTAATTGCTATTCATTTTGGCTGTACGACTGCAAAGTCCAGGGTGCACATTCCAATCGAGATCGACGAAGAGATCATCGACAATGTCGAAATTCTCGCCGGTGGACATTCCATGACTTGGAAAACCGCTTTCGACCTCGATGACAGCTACGCACACTTGGTCAGATTTAGGCCGAAACCGGGCATGCCAAAGAAGGGGATCTTCTCTAGAACTGTTCTTATTTTTGACCGCTGGCAGCCAGATTTAACTCACATCGAGCGAGATGAAATCAACTTTGTCGCTGAAAAACTTCTCTGCTAACTAATTTTGTACATAGTCTCTAGAACAGATAGACATCCCTTTATTTTCGATGACCGATGAGATCAGATTCTGATAGTTGAATTTTTAGAAAATGATGCAGCCAGGTATGCAGATGCCCATGGGCGCCGGTGGAATGCCACAGCTTCCTGGAAACGTCGGAATCGCAGTTGACGAGTATGGCAGACCGTTTCTTGTCATGCGTGACCAGGTAAACCTCTTACTTGTAGCACCAGCTTTTCATTGACAATTAGGAGCAACAAAATCGAGTCACCGGAGTCGAAGCTATCAAAGCTCACATTCTTGCCGCCAAGGCTGTCAGCTCTACTCTGAGAACTTCTCTCGGACCCAACGGTATGGATAAAATCATGGTCTCTCCAGACGGTGAAGTCACGACCACTAACGACGGTGCCACCATTCTTGACAAGATGGATGTCCAGCATAACGTTGCCAAGGTAGAGGAATTAATAACCTTCCATTTTTTTAACATTTTAGCTCCTCGTCGAACTGTCCAAATCTCAAGATGATGAGATTGGTGATGGCACCACTGGCGTCGTCGTCCTCGCTGGTGCTCTTTTGGAACAAGCCGAGCCACTCTTGGACAGAGGAATTCACCCTATCCGAATTGCTGATGGTTATGATAAGGCCTGTCAAGTTGCCCTCAAAACTCTCGACAGAATTGCCGAGGATTTTCCTATCTCTGACAAGGTAAAAGACAACATTTGCAAACAGTCGTTTAGATTGTTTTAGGATATGCTCAAGCGAACAGCCAGAACTACTCTTGGCTCTAAAATTGTCAACCGATGCCATGATCAGTTCGCCGACATCGCTGTTGAGTCCGTTCTTGCCGTCGCTGATTTCGAAAAGAAAGATGTTAATTTTGAACTCATCAAAATGCTCACCAAGGTACATCTTTACTTACTTGTTCTTTTCAAACTACCAATATATTTCAAGGTCGGAGGAAAGCTCGATGATACTCAGTTGATCAAGGGCGTTGTCATCGACAAGGACTTTAGTCACCCTCAGATGCCCAAGCAAGTTGAAAACGCTAAACTCGCAATTTTGACTTGCCCATTCGAACCTCCAAAGCCAAAGACGAACCACAAGCTTGATGTCACCTGTGTAGAAGACTACAAAGTAAGATCTTTTTCTTAAAACTATCTATAGCATTATTTTAGCAATTACAAACTTACGAGCGGGAAAAATTCGAGGAAATGATCAAACAAGTGAAGGATACTGGAGCTAACCTCGCCATTTGCCAGTGGGGTTTCGACGACGAAGCCAACCATCTCCTCCTCCAGAATAACTTACCAGCTGTCCGATGGGTCGGTGGTCCCGAAATTGAGCTTATCGCTATCGCCACTGGCGGTCGTATCGTCCCCCGATTCCAGGTACTCATCGTTGATATCAATCTTGAACCAAGCGCATTTTCCTAAAGGAGCTCACCAAAGAAAACTCGGCGAAGCTGGTATCGTCCGAGAAATCGACCTTGGTACCACTAAAGAGCGAATGTTGGTTGTCGAACAGTGCAAGAACAGCAAGGCTGTCACAGTTTTCATCCGAGGCTCCAACAGAATGGTCATTGCCGAGGCCGAGCGATCCCTCCACGACGCTATCTGCGTCGTCCGAAATCTCATCCGAGATTCAAGAATCGTCTACGGTGGTGGCGCTCCTGAAGTTGCTTGTGCTCTTGATGTTGCTGAAGAAGCTGACAATACTTCTGGACTCGACCAGTGGGGCATGCGGTGAGTCTGATAAGTTCTCATCACCCGATAATTATTTTTAGAGCATTCGCTTCAGCTCTTGAAAGCGTACCCATGGCCTTGGCTGAGAACTCCGGTTTGAATCCAGTTGAGACTTTGACTGATCTCCGATCTGACCAAAAGACCACTGGAAACCCCGACTTGGTGTTGATGCTCTTTATACCGGAGATCGAGATATGAAGGTATCATCGAAAATGGATGTTTTGGCGATACTAACTATTTTTAAAGGTCCAAAATGTTGTGGAGACCCTCGTTGGAAAGAAACAGCAGCTCTCGCTAGCAACACAGCTCGTTCGAATGATCTTAAAAATCGACGACGTCAGAACGGTCGGCGCTCAATAATTCACAGACAAACTACTGTATCCCTTTCTAGTATTTTAGCCTTTTTAGGATCAATTATTCCTGAGATCAGTGTCACAACCTCACTCTCTTCAAACCTTGTTTTTGAATGCTTGAAGCTGAGCACCACATATTTGTTTTTATTTGATTCCGCCAAGTCAACGATTATTTTACACTTCGTAAAGAACAAAACTGACCGATTTTAGCAACTGAAAATACCACCATTATAGTTCATACTTCCTGTGTCTTTCACCTATACTTTCAATACATGTTTTATTTGATAAAAGAACCCTCCAGTGTCTTTCTCGATTTTTGCAGAAGCATGATCAGGTTTAGTTAAGAAAAAACATGCGGCTATGGTGTTGACAGTTCCAATCGGACTGTGGTCAGGTCGGAATGTCAACTGTAAATGTACCTGCTTCGGTCGAATCGAGTCCAACCTTGACAATGTCGAGTACTGGATTTATGCTACCTTTGAGAGCGGCCAGATCTTCATTTGGAAGGTTTCCGATCAGAACATCATCCACAAAAGCGTCCTAATACAGGACTCTGATGCATCTCCGATAGTGAGCACATCATCTTACGGGAAGAATCATCTAGCAACGCTTTCCCTCTCCGGGTTAATTCAGTTTTGGCATGTTCCTTCTGGCCGCGTAGTATTCTCAATTCAAGCGTCTGATCGTCTTGGAGGTCTTGTTACTCTCTCTGAAACATTGATAGCTGCTTTCGGCGAACTCAGTGAAGTCCTTGTTTTCAGCACAAAAACTGGAAAGCGCGAGTTCTCACTTTGCTGCCGTTTGTACCCGGACTGGATAACTTGCGGGGTCTCAATAAATGTCCCCGATCTATCAGTTTTGCTCGGCATAACGGCAGGTGGAACTTTGAAAGTATGGCGCGTCTCAACAGAGCCTCAACAATCGCTAGAAGAGCCACTTTGGGAGGAAGAGTCGAAGCAAATCCGATCATGCGAGCATCCGATTGTTCTGAAATTAAGGAGCGAATACGCCCTTGTCGTCTGTAAGAAGTCCTTCTTCATCTTGGACTCATCGGATTTTTCAAGCATATCTTATCAGTCGATTGATAGCGATTGCCTCGTCGATGGATTTTTCCTTCAAGCAAGTTCAAACTTCGCCATCGTGTCGGAGAACAAAGCTCTGAACTTGTCATATTTCACGATCTACTCAACAGCGAACCTTAAGCCTCAAAGTGCGGATGACCAATCTCCGCAGCTCATTTGGCGAACGTCTGCTCCCCTGCACTCGAACTTTCAACTTTCTGGAAAACGTCTTCATTCAATTGCTCCTTCTCTTGAGATCTCTACATATGTAGCGCAGGAAGATTCACTAATTGAGATAGCTAAAACTGCTTCTTGCAGTGGAGTTGAAGGCGAACTTGATGTATTTTGCACGAATGACTCCTACATCACTGCGGTTTGCTTTGTTGAAGAAAAGGATACCCTCATATTTGGTCGTTCTGATGGACATCTTGTTATCGCTCCTGCAATTCCTTCTTTTGCAAAATGTGTTTTTGATATTAACGAAGACGTAGATGTCTTTACATCTGCAGTAGCCAATTACGCCGAGATCACTTGTCTCATGTACCCATACCAGCATAACACCGCTTCATATGACGACGATGTCTTTTTGTTGGTAGCGCCGACTTCTCTGTCTCAGCATGGTCACTAACACATAAACAAAAGTTGGTAGAATTCCACAATCACATGGCTCCACTGCTGAGTCTCACAATTTGCCCGATAAAAGTCGGAAAATCAGCTGGCACGGCCGTTTCGATCGATGTCGATGGCGGAATCTGCGTATTGCATCCGAAGACGCACCAATGTCTTCTTTCAGATCCTGGCTTTGGTCAAGCGATAATTGATGTCGCTTGGACAAATGATGGGTACCTTATTGTCACTCGTGAAGACGGATCATGCAAGACATGGGATGCATATTCGATGGCTCTTGAACGGGAAACTTCTTCCTCTCAAGCGAATGAAATTCAGTCAACAGCTGAGCTATATCCCCATGATAAACCTCCGGCAAGGAGGCAGCAGCTCATTTTTGTCCAACCAATGTTTCTTGATCAGCTTGATTCTCCACCAATTCTCAAGTGTTTATCATTTCACTTCGATGTCGAAAAAATGGTTCAAAATATCATCCAGCACTATCGACTTAATCAAACAAGTAACAAGAAAATGCCATCGCGTCAAGCCTCTGAAGACAAATCACAGCCAAATTTAACCAATACTCTCAAGACAACAGGAATGCAGTTATTTTCTAGCGTCCAGTCAAAAATTAAAGAATCGCGCTCAGGTCGCCAATCTCCAGCAACTCCGACCTCACCAAAGTCTCCTCAACAACAAGCTACATCGCCATCGAAACTTTCCTTATCAAGCGCACCATCACTAGATACTTCTGAAAGTGCCATCTTGGGACCTCAATCGTTAGCATTCGGACGTATTCTTATCATGACCTTGCATGCATGGGGACTTCAGCCATCTCTTGATGAGCTTCTAGTGACGATGATATCCTTTGCGCGACCGAAAAAGTCACTGATCTTTGGAGTCCGTCGTCAGAGCTGCTGTGTTTTCTTTTTCCCTGAAGAACCAGACAATTTTAACGAACACTGGAACATTTCAAAAGACTTGACGAATCTCCATCTCATGTCGATTGGTTCTCTTTGCAACAGTTTGATGAATTTGTCCGAAGAATTCCTCGGTGATGGTAGACAGTGTTGGTCTGGACTAGTCACTCTCCACTGCGCCTTGCTAAGCGATCTATTAGAAAAGTACACTCCTCCCGCTCTGGAAACACTGGCGATTCGCTGGTCTGATCGTGTGCAAGAAATTCGCGAAACGGGACAAAGCCTTCTTCTTGATCAACTAAGACGTAATGACGAAAAGACACGTGGACGCATTATCCAACACTTCCTCAATCAACTTTCATCATCCAACATGCAAACAAGTAATACTGCCGTTGTCATCCTAGGCGTGCTTGGTGCTGAACTCAACTGCCTCGGTCAATCAACAACAAGAATCATTGCTCAGAAGCTGCTCTCTCTTCTTGATGCCAACGATAACTCAATTTCAAAGAGGACAGCTGTTGAACTTCTTGGTCGTGGCTTCCATATCTGGGAGCCTTTCGTTGAGCCTGCAACTGTTCTCTTGGCTCTTATGGAAATGACGATCAACTATGAAATGGTGGAGCCACTATTTAACAAGAAGGTGATGGTTTCGCCAAGCGCGGAGCTCTGCCGTGCTTCGCATAGAGCTCTCTGTCAAATCGCCCGATCAAAACCCAGCGTCTTCATCACGACAATAGGTAACGCAATGAATTAATAACTGATAAAACATTTCTGTTCGTAGGACGAGAAGTAGCCCGCCATACTGCCGCAATTGCTAATCCAGCTACCTCCCAGAAATTTCAGCAGTCGACGCTTGTCAAAGCCAAAAATGAAGTGTTGCGGATAATAGAGTTTTTGGCAGAAATGCTGCCCAACGAGCTGTCTCTGCTTATATCTGAGGTATTGATATCGACAAAATTGAGAAGTCTAATATTTTAAAGGTCGTTGACATCGTTCTGTTTTGCTTGGACTCTCAAGCATTCAAGAAAACGAGGTTATCTGACGCTTTTCCTCCACTGCAAAGGTACATTGATACTGCCCCTTATTTGTTATAAATTGCTGTTAGATTTCATATGCTGTCATTCTGCAATAACACCAGAAGAATAGCGGCTGGGACGAAGAATGGGCAGATAATTGTTTATGACTTGAAGACTCTGAAAAGTCAGGTGGTTTCCGCTCATCGAGGCGCAGTATCTGCGCTTTGTTTTTCACCGGATGGAAAATACTTGGCTACGTATTCAAATGGTCTATTAGAAGATTATTTGCATCGTTGTAAATCATTTATTCTAGTTGAAAATCAATTGAGTTTCTGGGTGATGGTATCGTCTATTTTTGGAATGGTTACTTCGCATGTGAAATGCGTCAAATCTGTTGGAACTGTGCCGCTGAGAGTATGGTGTGTCTCAAATTTCTAGTTACAATAATTTTATAGGTTTCGTCGAGCAATATTTCGGAAAACCCGAAGCTCGTCTGGGTCAATAAAGAAGTCGCAGTTCTGCTGAATTCGGACGGCTCAGAATATCGCTTTACGATATAGAAATTATATTCAAGGACGTTTCATTTATTTATACTTGTGTACTTTATATCATCCTGATTTCTTCATTGCTTCTTCAACTCGCTATCTGCTCGTTCTGTCTGTCAATCCACTAGACTGTACTGTTTATCGAAGTTACTGCATGTGCAATAAACTGAATCGAGAGGAATCCTCTCGTACCATATTTATTTAACTTATAGCTAAGATCTCTTGTTTAGTATAAAAATGGTGCAAATCAATTACGAGGTCAGGCTAAAAAGCAACGCAAAATATCAAATGACAGAAATAGAGGATAGTCTTCGGAGCATCTTCGAACTATTCGACGATGGAGTTAAAAGCTTAATTCCGAAACAAGACAAGGAAAAGATCATGAACGCGATTAACGAGATTATGGACGAAACTGAGACGAAAGATCTGCTGGAAGCGTTGAACGTCGTGGAAGAGTGCGTTTCTGAGGTTATGATTTGCGAAGAGAGCGAAAAGTACAGTGATATTCCTAATACTGCCCTCGGGAAGTTCTATTTGTACACCATGGACAAAGCTGAGGGAGAAGAAGAGCACATTGATGAGGAAGAAGGTAACATACTCTCGCCTTATTTCAAAACTAATTTATCTTCTGAAGATGGCGAAATCGCTGCTTGCCAGACATGGATGTTACCGAACAAGGCGTTTTACGGACTGTGGGAGTCGCTGCACTACTCATCATCGCTCAAAACCGATCTCATTCAATACGCGGAAACATCTTTTCGGCTATCGCAACTAGGAGTCAGCAACACGCTCATTAGCTGGAACAAAGTCATTCTTTTTCATGGCCCTCCAGGCACTGGAAAGACTTCCATCGCTCAGGTACAAACCTTTAATTGCTCAAAAACAATCATTTCTTTAGGCATTTGCTCAAAAATTAGCGATTCGACAAATAGGCGGCTATCAAAATACGGCACTTGTGGAGATCAACTCACATTCTCTCTTCTCAAAGTGGTTTTCGGAGTCAGGCAAACTTGTTCAGAAAATGTTTTCTAAAATAAGAGACTATGCGGGTTAGTTGACGCTTTCAGATCACGACTACAACTATTTTAAGATGACAAGTCGATCATGACGATCATCCTCATCGACGAAGTAGAGAGCTTAACCTCTGCTAGATCGGGTTCCGCGAATGAGCCAGCAGATGCCGTTAGAGTAGTCAATGCTGTTCTTACGCAACTGGACTCGCTGAAAAAGTACCCGAACGTTCTCGTTGTTTGCACATCGAACATCACTGGCAAAATTGATCTGGCATTCATCGATCGCGCCGACATGAAGATTTTCGTTGGACCACCAGAGCCAAAAGCTATCTACACTATCCTCGAGTCTGCGTTCAACGAATTATATCATAAAGGCATGATTACAGGCAAATATTCCTTACGATCAGAAGGATACGACCTGCCAAAGTAAGAGCGGTTTTCATGCTCGGTGAATATTTTTAAGTCCAACTGACAGCGAGAGAAGCCTTATTGCGATCGCCGACAGTGCTCAAGGAATCAGCGGACGCACGCTTCGAAAGATACCATTCCTGGCCTTGATGAAGTACTGCGCTGGAGCTCAACAGGTCACTCTTGACAACTATCTTAACGCTGTCGAAAAAGCCATCGAAAGCGACAAGGTTGAGAGAAAGCATCTTTCTGGTAAAAATAACTCTCTTTTCTTTCAATCACTATTTATTTAGATGAAAACCCGAAGATGGAAGCCTAGCCGTTCACCTACATTTTACTTTTCACATTCCCTTTATCAACTTTTCACATCACAACTGCCACGTGCCATCGAGTTCAAATAAAAGGCATATCACGATTCCCAATAAAAATATTTTTCATTAAGAATGGACCTTTTGCTTCCGAGCAATCTGTCTCTTCCATCGAATGGAAATGGTCTTATTGTAGGCGCCCTGTATTCGCCTGGTAATAATAACAATTAAAAACAATCTGGTTATTTCTCTCTAGGAAAATTGTTAATACAAAATTTTGTGGAAACTCCTTCTCAAGATAAAGAATCTGAGTGTGCCTTGTATGAGCATATTTACAATCACACAAGAGAAGTCATCGCTCGGCTTAGCGGTGGAATAAACGTTCTTGGAGGCTTCTTTGTTGATGAGAAAGAAAATAGTGACTGGCTAAAAAGTACGAAGAAATTAAGACGGGAGGGACATATAGCAAACGAGACAATCTTTGCGTACATCGAAGGTAAAAATCTGTAGTTTATTGAAAATAACCCGGCATGTTAGATGGAAGTATTCGGGCCAAACGTATTCGAGACTCTGGAGATGTTCAAAAAGTAGAAGTAAAGACTGTGTCTTCATCAAAATTCCCCTGACACAGATCCGCTCCCAAGCATCCTTTCAATTTTCACTTCCCATCGTTTCCAAATCGCAGAAAATCTACGCCTCAGAAGTCGGGAAGCAAATAACGAACTTCGCAGTCGAAAAATTATCCAGTTTCGAACTCTTCGTCAATAATAGATTCAGCGAAAATGGCGAGCTTGTTATTCCAAAAATGCGTCAACAGTTCCTGAATTTCTGATGGCTGATATCTATCATGAAGGTCATGATGCGCCGATTCAATTAGCCGATAGTCCCTCTATGAATTTACAAATCTCTATTGCCGTAAGAGCTGCTATCACTAGAAAATCTTCCATAAGTGATTTGAAAGAACTGATCAGGTAATCCTTCGTTTTATCTTCACTCCTAAAACTCAACTAGAATGGATGTACAGCGCTCGTTATCGAAAAGATTTGAGATTTTCACCGAGGATCTCATCCTAGAGCTCGATGAAGACAACCCTCTTATGACAAATGGAATACTGGCTAGACGAGTATTCACATCAATCAATGGTGGCTTTCCAATCTCGTTGTACGAGAATTTTCAAACAAAAGCAGGCGACGACCTCGAGTTTATCTTCAACATATCAGAATCCACGGAACCCTTCGAGGTTAGTGCTCGAGAATCTTTATCTTTTATTATGTTTCTTTTTAGTATGCGGAACCAGAAGTAAAAAATACGACCGATATAGACAGACTTCGCGATGAAGAACAATCATCAACTAAAATTTCTAATAGCAACCCCTCGAGTAACAACTCGCCCAACAAAAATATAATAATGGCGCTCTTGGTCGCTATCTTAGCTGTAATTCTTTCACTGTTACTTTCAAGGTCTTCGTAAAACATAATAATAAATAAACATCACTCCTCTTATTATTTTCTTTTAGACTTGATCATGTTGCGAAGCTCTCGATCATTGATCAACCGATTTGCCTCTACCAAAGTCTTCTTTGACATCAACGCTGGTGGAGAAGGTACCCAGCGTATCACCTTCAAGGTTTTTGATAGTCGATTCTATTTCTTATATATTGAGTAGCTTTATGATGATGTTGTGCCAAAAACTGCCGAGAATTTCCGTCAGCTGTGTACTGGAGAAGCTGGCTTTGGATACAAAGGATCCAGCTTCCACAGAATCATCAACGACTTTATGGCTCAGGGCGGGGACTTTACTGCTGGCAATGGCACTGGCGGAAAGGTACCCAAACAATAACATGCTTGCTCTTATAGTTGATTCAAGAGTATCTACGGCCGAACCTTTGCCGACGAAAACTTTAACATCCGGCACGAGCAGCCCTACCTCCTTTCGATGGCCAATGCCGGTCCTAACACTAACGGCTCGCAGTTCTTCATCACTTTTATTCCCTGCCCATGGCTCGACGGCAAGCATACCGTCTTTGGTGAAGTTGTAGATGGCAAAGAAATCGTTGATATCATGAATAAGTACGGCAGCCAAAGTGGCCGACCTAGAGCGAACTTCACTATTGCCGACTGTGGCGAGCTCAAGGAAGACGAACTTGACTAAATTATTTATTTCTGTTGTTCGAAATTGCCTTCGCTGGCCATCTGCCTGACGACTTTAGAATAAATTACCACTCAAAACTTGAATTTCACGAAGATCGCCATGTAAATCATTCTGATTTAGACATGTCTCGAGCAGTGGGATGGGTTTCGTCGCCCTCGGATATCACGAAGGCGGCATTACAAAGGGCGGACCAAAGTTCATTTTCATCCTAAGAACTCATGGCCCAACCTCTTTCACTTTGAAAGACGGCTCATCTGTACGAGAGCAGCAAGCTGACGGAAACGGTGGTTCAAGCGCGAAGGTATGCTACCGTATAAACTCTGGTTAACCAAAACCTAAATCAATGATTTTAGCGAGTCTATAAAGTCACTCTTGGCGCAATTCATAGTTGCAGTTGTATAGCTTTCAAGCGCGAGCGCACTATCTGCAAGCATATTTGTTGGGTGCTGCTGAAGCGCTTTCGAATGGCTAAATCAAATCCACTGATCTGGCAAGGAGGGTTTGTCCCCCGCGAATTCGATGAGCTTCTCCGCGGGGATCATGCTCGAAAAGAAACGAAGCCGGTGGAGCAATCTGGCGATTCTGAACAACCATCTGAAAGTGGCCCTACTCCTGGAAGAGCACTCAATGCTGACGATGTTTGCCCTATTTGCCAAGAAGAGCTTCTTGAAGTCCGCATGCCTATCACTTGGTGTCGATGCTGCAATAACGCTGCTCATATTCGGTGTATGAAGGTCTGGGCAGAGCATCAAGACACAATGCAACGCGGCGATGGTGGTGACATTCAATGCCCTTATTGCAGGCAAACATTTGCACCAAAAGAGCAGCTACGACGTGAATTCACCAACACTTGGGAGAGGAAAAAGCACAAGGATGTCATTCATAGCGGCAGCGTTTGTGCCGATTGTTCGATGACGCCGATAAAGGGAAAACTCTACATAGGAATCGGAGATGCTGTGAATTTATGCGGTCAATGCTATCGTAATGGAGCAAGGCCACATGTTCGATTCAATGTCCGTGAGCGACCGGGACAGAGTCTAAAACCAGCAAAACGAAACTTGGCGAATCACCAACTAACGCTTGAGCTCCAAGGCCGCGAAATCCAAGAAGAAGACTACGAACGACTCCTTGAGCTAGACCGACCCGCTTCTCCTGATAGACCTGGGGTTCCAGATCATGTTTTGAACTTACTGCCTTGCCACAAAGTGGGTGCTAATCAGCGGCTACTCAAAGATGGTATGCAGTGCCGAATATGTTTACAAGCGTTCGACCCGGCGCATTATGTCAAACGATTGGACTCTTGTAGTCACTACTTTCACCGTGATTGTATCGATACTTGGTGTCAAAATCATACAGGTTTTTATTATAAGACGGAATTTTATCTAATTATTCTTTCAGAGTGTCCAATTGATGGCAAGAAGATCAGACTACGACAAAAGAAGCCCAGAAGAACAAAAACCAATATCGACATTCTTGAGACCCGACAACGCTCTGCCTTCGCTCCACGTCGGCCAGCTGCTAAGCTTTTGGAACGACGAAGAAAATCAGAAGCAAACTTGATCTCGCCAAACATGTCGGATCTGCTCGTTACAACACCTATTCGTGTCGCTGGATCCTCTTCGCAGTTGCCAATTACCGACGATATCGAGGAAATCAACCCGATTCCCTTGATAAATTTCCGTGTTCGCAATATGCGACTTTAAGTATTTACCCCAAGTGCCCATTGATGCTTGCTTTCTTATATTTCTTTATATTTAATAAAATATATTTTTGTAGAAATGATTGAATCGCTCTTTTTAGAATGTCAGATTGGGGTGGGTTTTCGGACGCAGAACTTCGCCACCTCCGAAGTGGCGGCGATTCAACAGCGACCAAAGCTAAACCAGCCTCGTCCAAATCGCCGAAAAAGGCACTCGCCGCTAAAAAGACCTCAAAGCCAAAACCGCCGAAAAAATTACCTGATGAAGCCCTCCTTCCTACTAGTACAAACGCTGAACCAGCTAAACAGGAACCCAAAGAAGAAATCCAAGTGAACAAAGTTGACACCTCATCAAATCAACCTGAAGTAGTAAGTTTGCGAATCAGCTGACTGTTTTTGATTGAATTTAGCCGGATTTTATTGAAGAAGAAGTGGCCGAGCAAAAGAAAAAGATGGAGATCCAAGAAGTCGAGAAGATCCAAAAAGAGATGGAGGAGAAGAATAAAAGGCGAAGAGCCGCTCTAGCTCAAGAAGTCATCTCTCGCCAAAAGAAAGCTGCATTGGAAAGCAAAATGCTCGCGACGATTCAGGATGAATTAGGTTTGATTCAATATGCTTTCGTTTTGGAAATTTGTATTTAGTTAAATTGGATAACCTGCTTAATGCGGACGTTGCCGTAATCCGCGATCAAATCGACAAGGCTTGCGTAGAATTTAGCGAAGCAAATCGTCGATTTCAAACAGCAGAGAAAGAGTACGTCGATGCTAAGTTCGACCTCCAGCAAAAACTGAGACAAAGGTAGGGGAAAATTATGGAGTGAGTCAAGTCATCATTGAAGGACAACCTGACCGAGCATCTCATGGATCTGATCCAGATGAACGAAGAGCGGAAACAGAAAAAGCTCGAAGAGTTGACATTCAAGCTGAGCATGGACCCAGAAATCGTGGCGAAACGAGAGGCAGAAGCTGCGGAGAAACTCCGACTGGAACAAGAGGCGAAGGAAAAGGCAATCGCTGAAGCAAAGAAAAAGCAGCTGAAGAAGCTGAGAAAAATTCACAGAGCACTGAAGCACCTGAAAACACCACTGAAAACACTGAAGAGGCGGCACCTGCTGCCTCTCCGACGCCTCAAGAAATCTCAAGAGATCAACCTGCTCAAGACCTATCAAAGCCTGCTGCTGAAACTCCATCGAGCTAAACACTATCGAATCGATTTTACTATCTCCTTTAAGTTAACAATTACGCTTTCCTTTAAAACTTGACACCTTCGCCTTTATATGGGATTTCTGCAATATACACCTTCTTCTTTCAATCCTCCCTTGAATATCAAACAGCATATTCACGGTTTAAATTTCTGTTTCTTTTCTGTGCCTTCCTTTAAATATATATAATCTGTTGATTCACAGTGCTCAAATTATACCCAGAAATCATTTGAGCGTATTTTTGATAGTTTATTTGCATGTTAGTTGATCAGAGGTTTGGTACTTAGTCCGCCTCGTGCGACGGTGCCGAATCGTTTATCAGGGCGTTGCATTTCGTAATAGCAGTAAATCAGGATTATAGCACTTGCACCGAAGAAGAAAAAATACATGATGAGCATGTATCTGACGAAAAAGTGAGGCAGGAAGAGATCCGAATATGTTGCGCTAAATAAGGAAAATAAAGTTCCTGATGAGAAAGGACTTTGAGCTGTTAGCAGGGTAGGTGTTGTTGAACAAACCTGACGATAGATTCTTTTCTTTTTTCGGCAACTGCGTTAATTCCATTCTGAGCGTAGCAGACAATCACTTGATCCCATTTTGTTTCTTTAGGGATGATTGCGATTCCGTCCGTAACATCCAAACTCTCGCCTTTGTAGCTTTTGGAGATTTCCTTTTGAACCAAGCTATTGACCCCAATTATCGGCGTTGGATACCCAGATGCAGTACAGTTGAGCACATTCTCGTCTTTGAACATTCTCTTCAGTCAGGCTTTACTACGATTAGTCGATATTATTTTTTAATTTGTAACCCTTTCCTGATCTCCTGTCATTAAAACTGTTGGAGGATGAAGAACATTCAATTTCGCCGTCGATTCTGAAAAGAATTTTAGTAGCTGGTGAATCCAGGTCTTCGGAGTTAGCCTTACCTCTTTCAATGTCGTCCCGCTCGTCTGCATAGACACATTTTACTTCTGATTGATGCATGTCCCGGGTAATTGGCTCAGTCAAAGTCAATGAAACTTCGCAAACAGTTCGATTATTGTTATTTTCACAGACCATATCAGCGGCGCTGTTTCTTCGTTGTCCATCGAAATAAAACGTCAAGTCAGTGGACTCTTCGTGAGGAACATATGCTTTACATATTGCTACTCTCTGTGGATGTTTAGGGTCTATCGGATTGTTATTGAATTGAAAAAGCTAGTGGTTCTTATACTACCATTTTCGGGATCGCAGCCTTCTGTCGCTTCACAATTAACATCGCTGGAGAAGATCTTGTCCACTACAGTTATTTCTTGTGCATAAGAAAAAATTAACAGAAAAAGCGATGTTGTTGAAATTCCTCTCATTGTTCCTTTGTTTCATGAGTGAGCCAAACGAGTCGGATTATCATCGCACTAGTATAATAAAAGAACTTTTATGATGACGATCACCTTGCCCTGGAGTCAGTTAATTGACTCATGATTATATTTCTATATGTTAAGAATAGTTTGACATATTTTAATTTAGAAGAAGTTCAATTCAGAATAAATATTCTCAGTTCATATACACATAAGATAAATTTGCCTATAAAACAGCCATTCTTTTCATCGGTCTCTCCGTCAAATTTGCTCAAGTGAAAGTACCAAATGTTCTTCATTCTTCTTGAAGATAACCGAAAAAGATTCAAGAGAAAGAGTCATGTCTTGTGATAGTCGCAATCCGACTATCCAAGAATACTGCAATTTCCGGCTACGAAATATCCCCTATGGAAGCGATGTTAAACCACAGTCTTGCTACGATCGACCAGTCGACGACGCAGGAAATGCTCGACTTGTTCTTGAGTGGGGAGACTGGCTAGTTATTGGCGTTTATTTCGTCATTGTCCTTGGAGCAGGTCTTGGCATTTCTCTCATCGGAAAGAAGAAGGCTTCTTCGTCAGCTGCAACAGACTTTCTTCTTGCAGGCCGATCCATGTGGTTTTTACCTGTCGCGTTTTCCCTATACAGCTCGAATATTGGAAGCTCTTCCTTCATTGGCTTGGCTGGATCAGGAGCCGCTGCTGGCATCGCAGTTGGCGTGTTTGAGTGGAATGCAATGATTTGCTTGCTGATGCTTGGATGGCTTTTCGTTCCAGTCTATCTTGCATCTGGAATCAAGACTATGCCCGAGTTCCTCCAACGTCGATTTCCTGGAGAGCGAATTCAGCTTTATTTAGCAGTTTTATCTCTCTTCATTTATATTTTTACGAAGATTAGCGCAGATTTATTCTCTGGCTCGTTATTCATTTCTCTTGCGATTCCATCACTGAATTTATATGTGGCTATCATCATCCTCCTTGCTATCACAGCTGCGTATTCTGTCGCCGGTGGATTGAAGGCTGTCATTTACGTTGAAGCTCTTCAAACTGTGATCATGGTTATCGGTTCAGTCATTATGGCGGTTTATGCGTTCAATGAGATTGGAAGCGAGAATGAGTCTGCATGGGACAGTCTCTGGGCCAAGTACAACTGTTCGATTCCTTCCGACTACCTTTCGCCTCTAGAAACGCAGAATGGCGACGCATGTGGTGCCGTTAGAGATGATTTCGATCATGTTCTGCGAGCACCCGACGCCGATCTACCCTGGCCAGGTGCAATTTTCGGCTTGACTGTAATTGCAACGTGGTATTGGTGTACTGATCAAGTGCTTGTTCAACGCTGTTTAGCTGCGAAAAACTTGTCCCATGTGAAGTTGGGATGTGTAATTGCCGGACTTATCAAAGTAACACCAGTGTTTCTGATGGTGTTTCCAGGAATGATCTCTCGCATCTTATTTACCGATGAAGGAATCAGTTATTGAATCAAAGCATCGTATATTTATAAATGAAAAAATTCATATTGAAAACATAAAATAACTTTTCAAAAGTTGCTTGCGTTGATCCTGACAATTGCAAGTCTTACTGCAACTCTAATATTGGCTGCTCTAATATCGCTTATCCAACACTTATTCTTCGTCTCTTACCAGCAGGATTACGAGGAATGCTCATGGCCGTCATGCTTGCCGCACTCATGAGTTCTCTCACCTCAACGTTCAATTCTGGTGCTACTTTATTTACATTAGGTACTTCTATTCATTCGATCTTTTTGTGATTTTTTGTAGATATCTATGCGAAAATTCGCAAAAATGCTTCGCAAGCAGAACTGCTAATTATCTCAAGACTAACAATGCTTGCTCTCTGCGGTATTTCAATTCTTTGGCTACCTATCGTTCAAAATTCATCTGACGGACAGCTCTTTGACTACATTCAAGCAATCACATCGTATCTCGGCCCACCAGTTGTAACAATTTTCGTTCTTGGCATATTCTGGCCGCGTTGCAACGAGCCAGGCGCTTTTTGGGGGCTTTTATGTGGACTAATTATTGGTCTGACTAAAATGCTACTTGAATTCACGCAACCAACAGGGCTATGTGGCGATACGCTTCCAAACCCTTTGGTCTTGTCGAAGATGCATTATTTACATTTTGCGATTTTATTGGCATTTTTAACGGTGATCATCGCAGTTGTCGTATCACTTTTGACTCCGCCGCTCGACCCAAGGTAAGGAAGTAGACAAAGCTGGTGATAAAAATTCTAAGATATCTACCACGAATGACATACTGGACTAGGTTTTCTAATAAAAGGCGCAAATCTATTAGCGACTTGAAACCTAAGGAGGAAATCTCTCAAGCAGGTAAAAACTCAAAATTAACGAATTCATGTTTTGTTCAAGAAGTGCCAAAATGGCTGAAATGCCTTGTTCGTGAAAATAAAACTTCCTCTGAAGAAATTTCCATCGCAGAAGAACAACCGAACGAGGAACATGATGTCGAAGTGGATCCCTGTGAAATTCTCAAGGAGGAAAAGTCGTGGAACATTGCAGCGAACGTTGCTGCTGTTTTTCTAGCTGTTTCATGTGTGTTTTTGCACGCATATTTCGCATAGATTTCATTTGAATAAAGGTAGTTTTTTCACAACAGTAACGTTTATATCGCACATCGTTTCCGTTTGATGTACTAGTTCGTTTTTCGGGTGTTTTCTTTTGGGACATAAAAATACTCAGGTTCTTCAAGGCTTGAGTTTGAGAAAATGAAGCCATCATTATTCATCGGATAAACTCTTTTGAAAAATCTAAAAGCCGGGAAAATACAGTTGGTATCCATCTTAAGAGGCCTTTTGAGATGACAAGGGCTGAGAGAAAGTCCTCTTAAGTTGGAACATTTCGAGTCAATTTAGGAATACATATTTTAAAATTCTTTTCTCACTAATGTCGAAGCTAAGCAGCATTACTGAAGTCAAAATTTGGACATTTGATGGAAAAATTGATCATGATTATTGTTTCCAGAACAAGGCGCGCACTTATGTTTTTAATTTTAAGGACCCCCCCCATCAAGAATCGCGAAAATAGGGCATCTTAGTGAAAGTTTTTCTCTAAAACTATCTTAGCCAGACCCTTAATTTTAATTGCATCCTTTAGATCGAACCCTCTACTGCAACCGTTCCCTTTAAGATGATCTCTCGATGCCAAATTTAAGGTTATACAGGCCGTTAAAGGTAAAGTTGCTTAGTGAACGTTTTTTTTGGGGTTTTCGTTGGGGTATACCCTTAATATTTTTTCATGGTAAAGTTAACGCCCTTAGCTACGACCGTTTGCTTTTTGAGAGTTTTTTGTCGACGAACTTAAGGAAGACAGCCCCTTTAAAATTTTATAAGTCGAATCTTAGTCGAATTTCCAGATTTTAATTTTCAGTAATTATTGCCTAAATTGCCCTGAATAACGTTTTTATACTCGTGTTTATGATAGAAATAGTTTTTATGGTTGGTATACCCTTAATTACCATTAAAAAATAGCGAACTAAAGATTTTTAGGAAATGGACAATGTTAATTTTCAATTTTTGAAGGCATTTTCTGCCAAAATTTTCTATAAGATCAAAAAATTTTCTGAATTAAAGTTGTTCCTCGTGGTCTAAACAACCCAAAAAGCAAAAAATTTGAAAATTTTGACTTTTTCATCTTGATGGGGGTCCTTAACTTGTTCATTCCTCGAAAAATATTTTGCTGGAAACATGTCCGAAAAGAGAATTCGCATGACGATGGCCGAGAAAAAAAAGTATGCAGAGATTTTGGTGAAAGGTGCAAACAAAAGAAATGCTAAAAAGGCTGTAAATGAGCTCTATCGAAAAGAGCATGGACAAGATATTCCGAAATGTACATTTACAAACCTTTATAACAAAAGGTTTACGATCCTGTCATCGAAAACGAAGCACAAATACCAACTCACGCAGAAGAAATCTGCATCAATGCAAAAGCTCGAAGAAAAATCAAGCAACTATACCCGAAACGCCAATATAAAATGAGACTTCGTGGAGTCGCGAGATGGTTACGAAAAATGATCGATGAAAACTTCCCCGATGACAAAGAGATACAGGATCTATGTATTTCCAAACGCTTTGTCAAAAGAATAATACGTGACTATGGAAGAAAAACCTCCAAGAAAACTGATGTTATATTTCTCAGTGAAGAAGAGAAAAATTTCGAAATTCAGCGTTTACGATCCTGTCGTTCGAATTATCCATTGAGGTGAGGATTTGATAATTTATTTTTGAAATCATTAAATTATAGTGCTATTCTGAACTGTGACAAGACAGGCGTCAGCCGAGAGATTGACACGCGAAATCGTATCCTGCTTGGATCAGATGATCAACTCTCGAAAATTGCTCATCAAAAGAGCGGTTTACATATATCCCGACAATCTCTGCGTTTGGGCCGCTAAAAGATTACCGCCCCGCAATCATAATAAGAAATCAAGGAAGTAAATGGAAAGGCGCACCAAGAAAGCAGATAGAACGAGTGGCCAACCCAAACTTCGACAACTCCAAGCCCTCCTCCTCTAAAAATCTCAAATTTCATGAAATAGAATTTCGAGATTTTAAAGGTAAATTGAAAAAACAAAGCTTATTAATTTTAAGATTTTCGACTATACTGGAATTCCTCCGCCTGGTGTACAAGAGCGATATTTATTCTG